ATTTGAGACAAATTTTTTTTTTAGATTAATAGACTCCCCTTTTAAAGCTGAATTGAATGGTGGTAAGTTTTTTAAAAATCCAATGTGTGGATCACATAATATTTCAAAAATTTTAACTTTTGAGTATAGATGATCCGCACTGTAGGAGATGATAAAATACCAAAGTATCAGCCATTAACATGCATTATTTGAAACTTTTATGTGTCACCAATTATTATTTGAGAGAATGTATTTATTTTAATTGGTGATAACAAATGTAAATGAATTAATTGGCTATTTATGTATTTATTACTAACGAATTAACGAATAATTTTGGTTTAATGATTTATGTATAAGAAAATTTATTTAGTCAATATTTATAAATTAGCAGTAATTCCACACTTTCTGTGTAATTGCGATTTAACAATCTGGTTCCGATATAGCTTTTAAATTTTTTTTAAAATGCGATATCGAGAATCTACGTTAAATAAAGTTAATTAATCATGACGTTATACAAATAAATAATTAAATATAGTTGGATCGGTCTAAAGACCTCTTAAATTTTGCGCAAATTTTAAAAAGTATAAAAGCCACTTCCTGTCCTACATTTTTTTAAAAAATAACCTCATTGATTGATAGAATAGGTCTCTAGTTTTAATTTAATGAAGGAACTTTCCTAAAAAAATTATTTATCGTAAAGTTCTATTCTTTTTTAGTACATGTATTTTACTATTGCTATTACTATCATTATTAACTATATACGCGGGATTTTAGCACTAGGGTCGTTACTAAATTTAGACTAGACCACAAATATCATATCTAAATTTGGCTGTAGGTTTAAGCCAAAATCACGTGAAGACCTTGTTTGAATGAATTATGAAATCGCTCGCTGTTTTTGAAATTCGAAAACTAGTGGCGCAGCAACAAGTGGTCTTCAGACCGAGCCAACAATATTAGAGTATTTCGGCCAACAAATCAGCATTAAATTCTAATCCCGGTAACATGCGTGATAAATACGGCGCAGATCATCTATCCCTTAAACTTTAACTTGGTGAAAATTTTGAATTTTTTTCAAAAACAAAATTTTATTGGGTTTTTATTATTTTTGTGTGTAAAAATTTTCTCATCATTTTCTTTTTAAATAAAAGAAATTAATTAAAACGAAACGAATTTATACTATTTAATTCCATCTAAATGAATATCTTCATTTTCATGATACTCTTTAAAACAATCTCTATTGGCATTACAACATAACATAATTGTACACCAAAGGTTTGATTTTGTATATTTTTGATCACTTTTCTCCCTATCGCTTCCACTGCTTCTAGACGGTTCCCTGTTATTTTCCTCTCTTATATTATCATCAATTCCATGACATCAGTTTGAATAAATGTGTTAGTATTTTCATCAGTGCTAAATCTTCACTTAAGTCAATTTCAAAATATTAAAACGAAAATTTTTTTAATCATTTTAAAAAAGTTAACCGACAAGTTTTAATGTTCATGACTCAAGTTTCAAAACTTATCGACTAGTTTACAATAAAAAAGTTAACGAACAAAAGAAAATCATTCCCAAATTTGGTCATGTAATTCAAAGATACTGTAATACGAAAATTATGGCATAACTAACTTGAGTATAGATAATCCGCAATCACTATAGTTGGCTTGGTCTAAAGACCTCCTAAATTTTGTGCAAATTTTAAAAGTATAGAAGTCATTTTCTGCCCTACCTTTTAAAAAAATAGCTCTATTAGTTGATGGAATAGGTCTTTAATTTTAATGTAATAAAGAGATTTTATCAAAAAAATTATTTGTTGTAGAGTTCTATTCTTTTTTAAAACATGTACTTTACTATGCTCATGAAGAATTTGAGCGCTAGGATCATTGCTAAATTTAGACTAGTTTTAGTTCATCGTTACTAAATTTAGACTAATACTCGACAATCATGTCTAAATTTGACAGGAAGGAAAATAAATTTTTTAACCAAAATCACGTGAAGCCTTTTTGAAAAGTTTTTATTGCATTTTTGAACGAATCATGAAATCGCAATTTTTGAAATTTGAGCGTGTGGCGCAGCAGTAGGAGGTCTTTAGACCGAGCCAACCATAAATAGTGTCTTTCATCCAGGGACGAGTTCTTTAGCACAGATGAAGCACCTTGTATAGACTTTGAAATAAAAATTTGGGACCACCTAATTTTCCATCTTCAGTGAGTCAGATTTACTTTATTGTAAGTGAGGACAACTAAAATGATAATGTAATCTTTAAAAATCAAATATCAATGTTAAAAAATAGTTAAAGTTATTGATAATTTATGTACACATTTATTGAAAACGACACTAATAAGGTAGATGATTTGTGTAGTTCAAATGGATAATAGAGACATTTCAAAAGTTGCTCTAGTTTCAATATAAAGGATTGCCATCATCCGACTTTAATTCAATTGCTGTCACGTTGGATGGTTAGGTGTCTGAACTCTGAACGTATCGACAAAACTACACTGCTATAAAAATCATGTAAAGAAGTTTTTGACATGGAATGCGTTAGAAAAATGCACTTTCCTGTACTAAAAAATATGGAAACCAGTAGATGATGTTGAAAAAAAGATCTAATCACACATTGAGCATAATTATCCATTTTATTAAATTAATTTCAATGATAAAGTGATGGCCAATGCATTAGAACGTCTCAGGAACAAATGTTAAATCAGGAAGATTATTGTGTCATTGTTGCAATCATACTGTAAATCGTGAGAAGAAGTCTGTTGTCTATATATAGATAGAGGCAGTAAAACATAAAGATGCTGAAAAAAACATAAAAGTACATGCAACCTTCACAAAGATCTTTGACTCCTTTATTACTAATGATTGTGAAAAAATTAACGTTGCAATCATTGAAGTTTTGCAAAGGCTGATTCTTCATTGATAATTAAAGCCTTTTTCAATTTATATTGCAGTAAATAAAACTTTGATGCCATATATATATATATTTGTGAAGTTGCCTTATCAAAGGCAATAATGCTATGCACTCTGAGCGTGTTGCTTAAAAATTAGAATTGTCTTTTCTTTTATTCGTTTCATTGCTTCCTGTCACGAGATATTCAACGTAATGTTCAGGTAAATTAGGAAATTAGTTTTTTGGCTTTCATTTAGTTACAAAGGTCTAATTGTTTCTGTCAAAAGCCACTAATATGGTAAGCCCTTCCTTTTTCTTTTTCTTTTTTTTAATGGTTCTTCATCTGATGGTTTCCAACCAGGGCTGGAAATAGTACTTTAAAATCCGGATTTTCCTTTTAAAATTTTTAACTTCGGAAAAAAAGAGTTGCCGGATATTTTTCCTTTTTGTACAGATTTTCCATACGCGTTAAAAAAATATATCAAATTTAATATATATAATATGTCTTTACTTCAATGAACAGACAGAATCACAATTTTTATCCTTTGAATTTTCAGAAAAAAAGTATTGACTCAATTTAAATATTTATTTCAAAAAAGACTGCTATTAATTTATTAAATTTAAAAATATATATACTTTAAATATATATATTTACGTGTTTTATTTTCCCTTATTCAAAAAAATAAATTACAAATAAATAGTATATAGAACAAGAAGAATTAAATAATTTGACTACTGAAATTTGGGATGAAGCATTTATAGATGAAACAAATATTGATGAATCGGATATAGAGGATTCAGATGATTTGACAATTCAAGGCTCAGATGATGATGATACTTCAAAAAAATCAATAAAAAAAGAAAAATTGTGAATTAAGTGTAAACCATGTTAAAATGTCAAATAAAAAAGTGCATTTTAAAAATCAGGAGGAAGTTTTCAACATGAATGGTTAAACATATATAAATGGTTAAAATATGATGTAGCAACAAAGAGAATGTTTTGCACAATTTGTAAAGCACATGGAAAAAAAATCAATTTGCAGGAAAAGGTGACAAATAAATATAATTAATTAATTTTGCATTTTGCAATTATTAATTTACTAATGTTATAATGTTAATATTTAGGATCAAAGAATGTTTCAAAATCTACTGCTTTAGCAACTCATGCACCTTCAAACCAACATAAAGATGCTTTGCTTCTAGAAAAGGCAAGAATAATCATGCAAGAGTCTTCCAAAAAAGCCATTAGTAATGGTAATAAACATATAATTAATATAATGAAAATGATTTACTGGATGGCAAAAAAAGATATTCTAATTTCCAAACTTCCAAGTCATTAATCTTGGTCATGCTCTTCAAGTTCTTGATCTATTTTCTTTAAAATAATATTATTACAAATGAAAATAACAAATCTGGATGAGAGTTAATTAGAATCAATATCTGAATCTATTGAACTAGTTATTTGGAATGAATTGGAATATTGTAAAGCATTTGGAGCTATGGTTGATGAAAGTACTGATATTTCCACAAATTCACATTTTATTATATATGTTAAGTATTGCTATAAGGGAATTATTAAAGTATGCTATCTTAAGCTTTTGCAAGTGGAAGAATCAAATGCTATAACACTCTATAATGTTATAATCAATCTTTTTGATAAAAATGGTTAGTTGTTTAACATTTATAATTCAATTCTATTATAATATTTTTTTGTAAATTAAAAGAATAATGTTTATATTTATAGATATTGTTAAAAAATTTGTTCATTTGCTTCAGATGGAGCAAGTGTAATGATGGGAAAAAATACAGGTGTAGCTACAAGAATTGCACAAATCAATCCTTTTCTTTATATTACACATTGCATTGCTCATATATTATCATTGGCATGTGGGGATGCTCAAGAACAAGTTGAATCTGTAAAAGTGTTAAAATCTGTCATGAAGAAAGTTTATTTATTTTTAGCAAATCAAGTAAATGTTGTGATTTATTGAAACATTATCAAAAATTTTTAGATCATCCTCTATTAAAAGTTAAACAGATCAATGATATTTGTTGGTTGTCCTGGTATGATGCTGTCAAAAATATTTGCTTATTTGTTGAACCATTACTTGATACAATTTTTGAAACTTATTCAAATGCAACACCTAAAAAAAAACCACCAATATTGAAGCTTTATCAAAAGTTATGTGATTGGAAAATGTTAGCATTCCTTTATTTTCTTTGATATTTTGGGATATTTGTCAGAATTATCAAAAGTTTTTCAAAACTTTTTATAAGATTTGCTGATCTTAAACCCACTATTGAGGCTACATTACAAAAAATCCAACATGAATATTTAGAAGGCAACCCTAGATTAGGATATAATTTAAATGGATCTTTAACAAAAATTTCATCAACATCCTATCCTTACATTGGAAACCATAAGCTTACTTTTAATAATGGTTATGAGGATGATTTAATGGTAGACATTTGTGAATTTGCATCATCAATAATCATAGAAATTAAGGAAAGATTTCCAAATCCAAAATTATTATCTGCAATGAAAATTCTTAATCCTCAAGAATGGCCAAAAGACAAGGAATCTTTAATGCTTTATGGTGAATAGAATTGGAAGAATTAGTTTCAGTTTATGGGAAAAAATATTTACCAGATTATCCTTTAGGTCTTATAGATTCTGTTGCTGTTCAAGAAGAATGGTTTGGGTTTAAAATAGTAGTACATTCAAATTATCAAGATTTAGCTATAGATGATTTATTTCCCTTATTATATAATAATTATTTAGATAGTTATCCAAATATCTTAACATATGGAAATAATGTACTCAATTCCATTTTCTAGTGTAAATTGTGAAAGAGGTTTCAGCAAACAGAATATTATCAAAACAGATTTATGTAAAGCAATGAAAAATGACATATTGCACTTATTAATGATGGTTGGTTTGGAAGGTACTTATTTATTTAGTTATGATTTTAGTGACGCTCTTAGTAAATTTTTTCAAAGAAAGAATAATAAAATAAAGAAATTTTAGCACCCAAAAAATTTTCTTCCAGAAAATTTTTAGCATTCAGGAGAAACTTCCGTTTTTCTTCAGACCTATTACTATTTCCAGCCCTGATCATGAATATTCGAATATCCATGATTATCACCACTAATACTAAAAATAATCACGTTCAAAATCATTTATCTATTTTAAGAATTGACATGAATTAACGCGTTCCTTTTGTTTTTTTTTTTTTGTAAACTTAAATTAATCGTATTAATAATTTTCTTTATATATATATCAAAAATTAAAAATGCCAAAAGAAATTCAAAAATCAAAAAAACCTATCGCTGCTCCATATCCTGCTGTTCCTTTAAATGAAACAAATAAAAACATTCAAGCGCCTTTAAAACTAAACTTGAGTAGAATAGCACATTCTGGCGACGTTCAGTTATCTGATGAACAGAATCAAATCCTCAACTTAGCTGTTAACA